ACTTTGACATTCACATCAGGGCTTCCAGCGCCTGCCAAGAGCTAATCAGGGCCCGACTAAACGGCTCCTTCCCGCACCTTTTCGAAGCTGCGGATAGATTTCAATTAAGATGCCTTAATACCAGCGCTGCAGCCAGAACAGCTCCAATCTGCTGCAAAGAGAGATGGGGGAAGGAGATGGCAGGGAGCGCCGCACCCTGTCTTTCCTCCCTCTCCTCCCCTCCCCTCCCTTCCCCTTCCCTCCCTCCCCTCCCCTCCTCTTTCTTTTCTTCTTTTCTCAGCACATCGCTTCCCTCAAGGACCTTTTGTCCCCTCCATGGAAGTGGAGAGAAGTGAAGAGCCCTGAGCTGAATCTACCACCTTAGCTTCCTCTCCTCTCCTCTTCTCTCCTCTCCTCTCCTCTCCTCTCCTCCAGTCCCTCTGTAGGACCCTGCCCACCAGTCAACCATTCCTTCTTCTTCTGCCCCACAATCTCAGCTCTCCTACCTGCAGGACTTTGCTTATACCAGGGGTTCATAACCTGAGATTCGTAGGTTTCAGGGGGTTCATGAACTGGGGGGGGGGAATTATTTTTATTTTTACTACCTGTAACTGACATTTAGCATTTCGTTCAGTTATGAACATAGGCAACAAACCATGGTGGTAACAGCAGTGCCTGTACTATTGTCACCAGTAGAAATCACAGGTATTTTCATATCCTATTACAAAAAATTATTTTATAGAGTTAGAAAAAATAATAACAAGATTCATTTGGAAGAACAAAAGGTCCAGAATATCAAGGGAACTAATGAAAAGAAATGCAGGGGAAGGTGGCCTAGCAATTCCAGATCTTAAATTGTATTAGAAAGCAGCAATCATCAAAACTGCTTGTTACTGGCTAAGAAATAGAGTGGTGGATCAGTGGAATAGGTTAAGTATGCAAGACACAGTAGTCAATGACTATAGTAATCTATTATTTGAGAAACCCAAAGACCCCAGCTTCTGGGATAAGAACTCACTCTTTGAAAAAAACTTCTGGGAAAACTGGAAGAGAGTATGGCAGAAATTAGGCATAGACCAAAATCTCACACCATATACCAAAATAAAGTCAAAATGGGTTCGTGATTTATATATAAAGGCTGATACCGTAAGCAAACTGGGAGAGCAAGGAGTAGTTTACCTGTCAGATCTATGGAGAACAGAAGAATTCATGACCAAACAGGAGATAGAGAACATTACGAAAAGCAAAATAGATAATTTTGATTACATTAAATTGAAAAGTTTTTGCACAAACAAAGCCAATGCAACTAAGATTAGAAGGAAGGTAGAAAATTGGGAAAGAATTTTTACAACCAGTCTCTCTGATAAGGGCCTCATTTCTAAAATATATAGAGAATTAAGTCAAATTTATAAGAATACAAACCATTCCCCAATTGATAAATGGTCAAAGGATATGAACAGACAGTTCTCAGATGAAGAAATTAAAGCCATCTATAGTCATATGAAAAATGTAGAGAAACGTAAATCAAAATAACTCTGAGGTACCACATCACACCTATCAGATGGGCCAACATGACAAAACAGGAAAAATGATAAATGTTGAAGAAGATGTGGGAAAATTGGAACACTAATGCATTGTCGGTGGAGTTGTGAAATGATCCAACCATTCTGGAGAGCAATTTGGAACTATGCCCAAAGGGCTATAAAAATGTGCATACCCTTTGACCCAGCAATAGCACTTCTAGGGCTGTATCCCAAAGAGATCGTACAAATGGGGAAAAGACTCACATGTACAAAAATATTCATAGCAGCACTTTTTGTGGTGGCAAAGAATTGGAAATTGAGAGTATGCCCATCAGTTGGGGAATGACTGAACAAGCTGTGGTATATGAATGTAATGGAATACTATTGTGCTGTAAGAATGATGAACAAGGGGCAGCTAGGTGGCTCAGTAGATAGAGCACAGGCCCTGAAGTTAGGAGGACCTGAGTTCAAATGTGGCCTCAGACCAAGCACTTGACATTTACTAGCTGTGTGACCCTGGGCAAGTCACTTAACCCCAGTTGCCTAAAAAAAAAAATTGTTGTGCGATGACGAATATTGATAAACTTAACCTTTCCCAGAAATACAAAGATCTAAGACATCTCCAGAGGCCTCGTGATGGAAAATGCTATCCACATGCAAAGAAAGAACTATGGCAGTTGAATTGCTTTTTTTCTTCTCTTCTGTTGAGTTTTGTTTCCTCTTTCTGATGGTACCTCCTATTGGTTTTAATTTTTACTTACAACATCACTAATGTGAAAATATGCTTAATAGGAATGTAAATGTATAGCCTATATCAAATTGTGCATCATCTTGGGGAGGGTGGTGGGGAGGAAGGGGGAGAAAAATTTTAAACTCAAAAGCATATGGAAGTGATTATTGATAAATCAAAATAAATTAATAAAAAAAGAAGAAGAAATCTAGCCACAGCTCAGATTCCTAAAATCTAGCCAACAGCCCATAGATGCTCAGATTCCTTAAGAGTCTGGCTAATATGATGAATCTTCAATAAACCTTGTCTTTGGCTGAGAAAAAAAAAAGAAATCACAGGTATTTTCATATCCTATTTCAGCTATTACAGATATTTTGGAATATGATTTATGTATATCACTATTTCAAATTACTTTAGTTATTACATCCACTCTATAGCTATATTACTATAGCACAAATGTGGATTTTTAAAAACATTTTTTTAATTGTACTCCAATATAATTCATTTCCTTTGTAATTCTGTATATTTTATTTTATGTATTTAAAAGTATTGTTCTGAGATGACCTCTCTATAGAGGTCATCTATGCTTCACCAGCCTGCCCAAGGGGTCTATGATATTAAAAAGGTTAGCAACCCCTGAATTATATGTTTTCTGGGCCCCGTAATGCCCAGTGTCCTTCTCTTGGCCTCTGCAATGACTACCCTTTTTTTGAGGCCCAGATCACAGCCCACCTCATCCAGGAAGCCTTCTTAATCCACCACTCCAGCCCACATGGATGGATCCTATCCTCTTCTGAACTTGTTTGGGTTTATGGTCTATTTTGTGACCTTGACCCCATATTTCACTAGAGGACTGAACTTCAGAGAAAGAAACTTTAAAGATCTAATGCAGATAAGCGATGGCTCCACAGCTTAAAAATCTCAGATGGTTGCCTCGGGGTGGGAACTGAAAGGTAAATGATTTGTTCAGGGTCAGACAGCCAGTACGTGTAAGGGGCAGGACTAGAACCCAGGTCTTCCTGACTTTATCCACTATACCACACTGCCAGTCACACAGGATCATAGTATCGTAGCTCTAGAGGCCTTCTAGTCCTGCCCCATTATTTTATAGGAAACTAAGGTTGTTAAGTAACTTGCCCAAGGTGACATAGGTAATATGCATCAGAGGGAGAAAGTGACCCTGTATCCTCCTCAATTCCAGACCTGCCTCTCTGTCCATTACTGTTTTTCATGGTCTTTGTTACCTATTTGGAAATTAATTAGGTATGACCTTGTGATCATTCTTGTTTTATTATTTAACTTGTCAGATATTCATCCCCTATCTCCCCAAATGGACCATCAGCTTTTTGAAGGCCAGAATTGTTTTATACCTATGGACCTCCCATTGGTCTCTTAGTAGGGGCTTAACAAATGTTTTGGGGGCAGCCAGGTGGCACAGTGGCTGGGCCACTGGGCCTGGAGTCAGGAAGACCTGACTTCAAATCTGGCCTCAGACACTTATTAGCTGTGTGACCCTGGGCAGTCACCAGACCCTGTTTGTCTCCGTTTCCTCATCTGTAAAATGAGTTGGAGAAGGAAATGGCAAACCACTCTAGTATCTTTGCCAAGAAAACCCCAAATGGGGTCATGAAGGGTCAGATGCAACTTAAACAACTAAAGAACAACAAATATTTGTGGATGGATATAGGAGTATGACAGCGTTCTGGGAGCCCCTCCCATGAGGAGGCCCTTTCCTACTGGTTACCACCATGGCTATCTCTCAAAGGCTTAAGGGCAGAAGGGAGATGTTGGGAGCCCCTGCTGTGGAGGCACAGTTCTTGACCTTCCATTCCTTTAGTCCCCCTCTCCTCTTTCCTTTCATATATTAGCATTCATGAGTACTCTCCTTTACATCTAACAGACATTAAATGACTTTTCATGAATAGTGTTTTACAAATGTCAAAGGGGCTATATAAATGTCAGTTACTGGGGCAGCTAGTTGGCACAGTGGATAGAGCACCGGCCCCGAAGTCAGGAGGACCTGAGTGCAAATCTGGCCTCAGACCAAACACTGGACACTTACTAGCTGTGTGACCCTGGGCAAGTCACTTAACCCTAATTGCCTAAAAATAAAAAAATTAAATGTCAGTTATTAATAATATTATTATTCAGCAAAAGGAAGGTTTCAGACCTACACATACAATTGGATGACAGTGTGGGAAGACCACTAGTCTTGAAGTTAGAAGATCATTGGATGGTAGATTTAGAACTGAGAGAGTTTTTTTTTTAGGCAGTTGGGGTTAAGTGACTTGCCCAGGGTCACACAGCTAGTAAGTGTCAAGTGTTTGGTCTGAGGCTGGAATTGAACTCAGGTCCTCCTGACTTCAGGGCCGGTGCTCTATCCACTATACCACCTAGCTGCCCCTAGAACTGAGAGAGATTTTGGAAGCCATCCCTGGCTTTTTGTCCTGGTTCTGCCACAGACTCACTGGATGACCTTTCTGGGCCTCTGTTTCTTCATCTCTTAATTGGGGATAACAATACCTTCCCATCCTACTCCATAATGTGCCTGAGAGTACCATTTAAAATCCTATTCATGAAAACACTTTGAAAATTATAAAGCATTGTATAAATGTAAGGGACTTTTTTCACTCTCATTCATTCATACATGAATTCATTCATTTATTAAACTAACAAATGAATTTTCCTTGCTTCAGAATGTACAGGACCCCTAAGAGTGAAATGACCAGGATTAATGAGGATGCAGGAGGTCCATGAGGGATACATACCTAACCAGTGTTCTCCAGTGAGTTTGCCAAAGCCATCCCTGTAGGCCTCCCAGCCTCGGAAAAAGTTGACAGAACCATCCTCCCGACGCTGGAAAACCTGTGAAGGAGAGACCAGTGAGGAGGGAGAACTAAAGACTGGAATCCTAGAGAAGAAATGAAGCCCCTCTCTTCCCCCCAGTATCCAGACAACCAGACCAGGAGAGTGGCCCTCAGCCTGTGGGCTGTGGGTCCTGGGCTGACATGGCTTGATGTGGGCTCAAGCTGAGCTCAACTCTCTGAAACTTCTTTCCCTAATGAAGCTCAGTTTGTTGGCAAACTCTCCTGGAAAGGCTCTGAGCTGGTTGCATCTGCCCTGTCCGGTTAACCTAGAAATCACAGCTGAATCTTTGTGTACCAGGTTCCCTGGGAAAGATCTCTGGTACTAGAGCGAGAGGGCCTGGGTTCAACTTTGGGTGCATCAGTCACTCCATCTCCTTCCATCCCAGTTTCCTTATCTGTAAAGTGATCAGATTGGATTCGATGGCATTTGAGATCTGTTCCAGCTCTTGGTCTGTGATTCTAGAGCCATCCTCTGGTCTTCTCGTCAGGACCTTTAAGGCCCAGGTATGCTGTACTTTCTGGAGAGGCTCTACTCAGGGTGTTTCATTTAAGAAAAATCCAGAGACCTGGATTCTAGTCCTAGTTCTGCTACTAATTCATTGGAGACCATCTTTGAACCTCAATTTCCTCACCTGTAAAATAAGGCAATAGAAGAAATGACCTCAAGGCCCCTTCTGGCTTAAAAAAGAAAAGGAAAAAAAGCCTTATGCTGTTAAAAATATATATCCTTTCCTTTGACAAATAACAAGAGGTTGGACTCTCCTGTCATGTCTCCTGACTCCCAAGGGGCCACGTCTAATTACACAGTACACCAACAGCCAAATTACTGTCATGCCTTGGCAAAGGTGCCAGTGGTCACCGTGGGAGCCAGGGATGGAGATTCTCCCTGGGAAGTATGAGAAGAGAGGAAAAGGGAAGCCCAGCTCTGTGGCCAAGGTGTGCCTGGTGTGCCAACGAGCCCCTGCGGTGTTTGCAGGGCTTCCTTTTAATAACATCCTTGATTTGGGACTTGGGAATCCCAGTGGCTAAATTGCTTTGAAATAAATGCCATGGCTGTTCGTGCCAGAGCCGCCTTGAGTATAAGATTCACTGACAATTCTGTTCCTTGCATGTTATACACACACACACACACACACACACACACACACACACACACACACACACACACACACGTCTTTCCCATTAACCAACGTTTTCCTTTCTGTGTTACTTTGCCATTTATTTATTAGAAGTGGAATAAGTATCGGTCAGCATTCCTCGCTGAGACCCTGTCTGTATCCGTGTATGTCCAGTTAGTAAGAGATCATAGCATCTGAGGGATTAAGAGCTGGAAGAGACCTCAGAATAATCTAGTCCAACATCTTCACTTTACAAATGAGGAAACTGAGGCTTAGCAAGGGGAAAAGAGTGGCCCCAGCTAATGTGAAATCTCCATTTTTCTTATTGAATGGGCTAATTCGGGTCTGATTTTGTAACCTCAAACAATATTCTCCTTTGCAGACTGGAGCTTCCCAGACTCACTTGCTCCTGAACTGCTAATTTCTTTGGGGAAATGTCAAATTCCATTGTTTGGGCAGCTTTTTACATGAGGAAAACGGAAGGAGATGACACATCTTTTTCTTGCTCTGGTACCTCAGATCCAATGAGACACTGAATTTTAAAAATACTCAGAAAGGGCTGGTTCATCATGGAAGGAAATCCGATAAGATTTGAAAAGATCTGAGATGTAAGTAGGAAAGGTATTGATAGTTAAGATTTGAACCCTAAGCATGTGCATATTTTTAAAAGTCCTAATCTTTGGCAGAAACACAGGGACCCAAAGGAGACTCTAAGTCCAAGTTTCTATTTGTAAAATGAGGGGGTTGAACTAGATCAGAGGTTCTTTACCTTTTTTTTGTGCCAATCTAGTTAAGCCTGGGGGCTCCTTCTCAGAATAATATTTGTTGCCTACATTCATAATTGAAGGAAATGCTAAATTATGATTAGAGGTTAGTTAAAAAAAAAAGATGTAATTTTTCCCCATCTAACTTTATGGATTGCTGAAATATATCCATTTAACCCCAGGTTAAGAACCCATGGACTAAATAATTTCCAAAGTCCCTTTTAGCTCTAATGTTCTATGTTCTGTGTTCTGATATTGTATGTTCTGACATTCTACATTGTATGCTCTGAGGTCCCTTCCAGCTCTGATGGACATTCTATGTTCTAAAATCTCATACAGTTATATCATTCTTTGACCATATGGCCCCTAGTCCATCCCACTAGCTCTAGATACTACTGAAAGATTCTATTTTCTAAGATGAAATACAAAAAAACCATTTATTAAGTGTCTGTTATGTGCCAGGCACTATGCTAAGCACTGGGAATACAAATAAGAAAGGAAAGACAGTCCCTGTCTTCAAGAAGCTTACAATCTAATGGAGGAAGACGACACACAAAAGAAAGCTAAAGTGGTAATGATGGTGTAGTGGAATCCAAAATCAGTTAATGGAAAATAAAGAGTCAGCTGGGCTCCCGAACTCTCACTCGTCCTCCTATCTAATCATTTCCAAGTCTTGTTAAGTATATCTCAACTATCTCTTGGACCTGCCCCTTCTCCCTACTTACAGTAACCCCATCCTGATTCTGCTTCCACACTTCTCTCCTGTACTATTGTAATAACCATCTTTTAAAAATTATTATTATTTATTTTTAACAATATTTGTAACTTTGAGTTCCAAATTCTGATTCTATTCTTTTTTCACTTAATATTGTTTCATTTTTTCCAATTACATGCAAAGATAGTTTTCAACATTCACGTTTGCAAGATTTTGAGTTCCAAATTTTTTTCTCCCTCCCCCCTCCCCAAGATGGGGATCTGATATAGGCTATACACATACAATCATATTAAACATATTTCCACATTAGTCTTGTTGTGAAAAAATAGAACAAAAGGGAAAAACCACAAGAAAGAAAAAAAAGAGAAAATAGTATGCTTCAATCTGCATTTATACTCCATAGTTCTTTCTCTTGATGTGGACTGCATTTTTCATCATGAGTCCCTTGGAATTGTCTTAGATCATTGCACTGCTGAGAAGAGCTAAGTCTATCAAAGTCGGTCATCCTGAGTCTATTCTTAAGCAGGGAAGAACATTCTACATCTCAGGCACCTCCTTGTTTATACCAGAGAGGGAAATTCTATAAGACAGGCATCATTTTTAAGGTACCTACTACATGCCTACTAGTGTTCTAGGTACTGTGAGAGATGTGGAAAGAAAAGTCTCAGTCAGCAATGCACTCAAAAAGCTTACTCTCTGAATGGCAGAGGGAAGGCATGTGTTTGTTCATACTGTTTCCTCGTCTTCCTCTCTGTCAGTTTGAACCCTATCCATCCTTTAAGGCCTCGGTTGTTTCACTCCTTGCATGCAGCTTTCCTTGACTATTATTCCAGCCTACCTACTCCCTTTCCTTCATGAAATTCTTACAGTGTACCTCTAGCATTAAATACTAAGTCCTTTGTTTGGCATTTAAAACTCTTCACAACCTGTTTCCAATCCGCCTTTCCAGCTTTATTATACATCACTTGTTCTTATACATTCTACAGGCCAGCTAGGTGGTACAGTGGATAGAATGCCAGGCTGGAATCAGGAATCATCTTCCTGAGTTCAAATCTGACTTCAGACACTTAGTAGCTGTGTGACCCTGGATAAGTCACTTAACTCTTTGCCTCAGTTTCCTCATCTGTAAAATGAGCTGGAGAAGGAAATGGCAAACCACTTTAGTATCTTTGCCAAGAAAACCCCAAATGGGGTCACAAGGAGTCAGACACAACTGAAAATGACTGAACAACAACATGTTCTACAAGTCCAGCCAAACTGACTTGTTTATTATTCCTTACTCATGACATACCCTCTCCCCTCTCCTTGTCTTTGTACAGGCCATCATGCCCTGCCTAGAATCACTCCCCTCTCACCCCCACCTCCATAGTCTCCTGTAAGGTTTAGTTCAAATGCTACCTTCTACATGAGGCCTTTCCTGATACCCTCCCCGCAGAAGCCTTCCCCCAACAAAAAATTTTTAACTTTTATTTGTTTTGAATACATAGATGGGAGAAAAATTAATTAATTAACTGTACAGCAGAAAAATTCTGTACTCAGTGTTTTGGGCATAAGCCTGCCAGAGATGGATTTGTTAATTAAGTAATTCTAAGCATCTCTGCTTCGAGACAAAACCCAAAGGGACAGGCATCTATCATGCCTTTGAAAATCTCTCTGACACAAGCCATTTTAGCTCATAATTTATAGTATTACTAAACAAAAAGATAAAATTTCTCAATAAGATTAAAAAAATAGTAATGAAAGTGAGATAAAAGTTCAGGTTAACGGTTCTGATTCATGAAACAGAATAACAGCCACTTAACTTTGGGCAATTTTTCAGAATCGTTTTCTTAAAACAATTCAATCCCTCTTTAACCATTTCCTCAAAGTATTCTTCTTTCAGCCTGGTCAAAGGTGAACTCAAAAGATACTTCTATTAATTTAATTAATCAAATACTATTTTCTTCTCTTAGTGTGATTCTAATCAGTTCATAGACCCTGATCACTTAGCAAGGGGTCTTTCCTAGGCTGAACAGGCCTATCCTTTTAGAAACTGGTTCGGCCTGGATAAGGATGATGTAAAAAGATTTCAGGACAGAACATTGTTCTGAACTATTAGTTAAAATAAGACTAATAAAGGTTCCTCATTCATATTAGACCAAGGACTTCAGACTAAGTACTGCCCTAATATTATTTTGCTTCATGTAGTCCAAAATGGGAAATGGATGGGCTTCAACACGCTTCTATAATTTATCTGTATCACCAGTATGTAGTAAGCATTTTAATAAATGCTTATCGATGGTCTATGCTTACTTTATATTTATATATGTATGCGTTCTTTTATTTTATGTATACATACTTATTCTCTCTATGTATAGAACATAAGATCCTTGAAGGCAAAGACTGTTTCAGATTTCATCTT